TTTTTTTTTTAAAGCAAATTATTATTTCTTTGTTGCCACAAAAGAAAAAGTTATTTCTTGAGGGCATAATTATTTTTCCATTTCTTCGGAAAAAATAATATTTTTATTTTATAAAATCCTAGTTTTAGATTGGATTATGATTTTTTTTTTCTTTTTTTGTGAGAACTAAGATTTTGGTATTTTTTTTATTTATGAGAATTAGGATTTTTGGTCTTTTTGTGTTTGTTACACTATTATGAGTTTTCCAACACAAGGGACCAAAATCTAAATCTAATCTAATGCTAGAGTTTAATAATTTTTTAAAAAAAAAAAGTTTATACCATTTAAGAATGATAATTTAATTTTCTATTATTAGTTACTAGATATTATTATTGCCCTAGGGCAAGTACTTAACTGCATTTGCTTATCTTAATAAGGTTTAGTTTGTTATGTGTTTTTTATTTATACAAACGATATTGGGGGAATAGGAAATGAAACTAAGGGTCTCCGATGCAGGCATTAATACTCTTAAACACTTGAGTTAGAAACTCCTTGTTGTTATGTGTTCTTTTGTAACGAATGTTGTGATATTCAAATAAAATCATGATTATAGTCCTTAGATATTTGTGATATTTTTGTTTTTATCATGTCTGATATTTTGGCAAATGTATTTTATCATTATTATTTTTTAAAAAATTTCATCAATATTTTATCGAGATGTTATTTCCCAACACCAAAACATTGAATTTGGTCAATTTATCACCGAAAATATCGAAATATCAACAATATCTCACAAAAATCTGGCAATTTTTCGCCAAGGATAGCAAGTTAAATTTGGTCAATTTAGTGTCAAAACTATCAAAATATCGACTTTATCGCGAGAATCTGGCAACTTTTCACAAAGGATAGCAACCGCACAATTATCCAACGCATTGATTACTATTTTGTGATATATATTTCTATTTATAATGCATTTATACAAATGACATATTTTTCTCTTTCCATTTTTTCTCACAACTTTTCTATCTCTCTTGTGCATATAAAAATACCTCTTTCTCACAAATGTTATAAAGCCTAAAGTAATTTACATGCTCCTATTATTCTTAGAAAATAGGAAGTCTAGGCATAGAAAATTATTTGATTTTCCATGTTTGGTAAGCTAGGCATAAAAAATGATCTGCTTGATAGGCCAATATTAAATTCCCTCCATCCCTTGAATTTCATTTCCTTTTTGCATGGAAACCAAAGCTAGTATTAAATGCACTTTTTTCATGATGAATTTATTCCTGTTAACAATTTAGAAGTACAATTTTTATCCACCAACAAAAACTTGGTATTCTTTACTTTATTTTATTTGTTTCATATCTCTAATAGGGGTATAATTGAAAAACTAAACAAATTTTGTTTTCCATTCATACACAAACCAAACATGGGAAATGAAATAAAATTATATTTCCTGATTTCTTTCCCAACATTACCAAACATGGAAAATAAATATTCCATTTCTCATCCCTCGAGAAAAAAACATAGAAAATAATTTCTCTTAAATTCCTTTCCACGGTAGACCTGTGTGGCGTCAGATTAAGAGGTTCAAGTGTTTTTACCCTTCTAAACGGTACAAATTGCCTTATTGTTTGCAATTTCACTTTTCTTTTTCCGTTCTTTGTGAAATCAAGCGTGTATTTACTTTGGACAGTAAATAGTTGGATTCCTAACACAGTATCGGTTCCGGAAATACCTCCATCAAAGCTCTTGGTTTAGTGTGCGGTTCTGGCTCAACACCAAACCAAACCAAACCGAGCCCACCAAACCAAATAACCGAACCTATAAAATTTACCTAATCAGCAAAGTACATACAAGGTATCTTGTGCGTAAGACTATATTCATGTTTTTACTGTATAGTTTATAACGGGTGGCGTTTTTATTGTAATGCAAGAAATGACAACATCATCCTTCATCTTTTTATATAGGTATGACATTAACCATTCCATACATGACTATCAATTGTCCGATTTAGCTGATTTTCAACTTATGTTTGCCAATGATATCCTCAAATAAAAAAAAAGTTTATACCATTTAAGAATGATAATTTAATTTTCTATTATTAGTTACTAGATATTATTATTGCCCTAGGGCAAGTACTTAACTGCATTTGCTTATCTTAATAAGGTTTAGTTTGTTATGTGTTTTTTATTTATACAAACGATATTGGGGGAATAGGAAATGAAACTAAGGGTCTCCGATGCAGGCATTAATACTCTTAAACACTTGAGTTAGAAACTCCTTGTTGTTATGTGTTCTTTTGTAACGAATGTTGTGATATTCAAATAAAATCATGATTATAGTCCTTAGATATTTGTGATATTTTTGTTTTTATCATGTCTGATATTTTGGCAAATGTATTTTATCATTATTATTTTTTAAAAAATTTCATCAATATTTTATCGAGATGTTATTTCCCAACACCAAAACATTGAATTTGGTCAATTTATCACCGAAAATATCGAAATATCAACAATATCTCACAAAAATCTGGCAATTTTTCACCAAGGATAGCAATAGGCCTCATCATTTGGCCCGCGGGCTCATGGGCCGATGGGGGCCTGCCCGGCCCATCGAAAAAAAGCCCGGCCCGGCCCGTTATGGGCTTTGAGATGGCCCGGCCCGTCTTGGGCCGGGCCGGGCTTGGGCTTGAGTGTTTGAAGCCCGGCCCGACCCATAGGCCCGGCCCGATTAGGCCCAAAAAAAAAAAGTTTATACCATTTAAGAATGATAATTTAATTTTCTATTATTAGTTACTAGATATTATTATTGCCCTAGGGCAAGTACTTAACTGCATTTGCTTATCTTAATAAGGTTTAGTTTGTTATGTGTTTTTTATTTATACAAACGATATTGGGGGAATAGGAAATGAAACTAAGGGTCTCCGATGCAGGCATTAATACTCTTAAACACTTGAGTTAGAAACTCCTTGTTGTTATGTGTTCTTTTGTAACGAATGTTGTGATATTCAAATAAAATCATGATTATAGTCCTTAGATATTTGTGATATTTTTGTTTTTATCATGTCTGATATTTTGGCAAATGTATTTTATCATTATTATTTTTTAAAAAATTTCATCAATATTTTATCGAGATGTTATTTCCCAACACCAAAACATTGAATTTGGTCAATTTATCACCGAAAATATCGAAATATCAACAATATCTCACAAAAATCTGGCAATTTTTCGCCAAGGATAGCAAGTTAAATTTGGTCAATTTAGTGTCAAAACTATCAAAATATCGACTTTATCGCGAGAATCTGGCAACTTTTCACAAAGGATAGCAACCGCACAATTATCCAACGCATTGATTACTATTTTGTGTTATATATTTCTATTTATAATGCATTTATACAAATGACATATTTTTCTCTTTCCATTTTTTCTCACAACTTTTCTATCTCTCTTGTGCATATAAAAATACCTCTTTCTCACAAATGTTATAAAGCCTAAAGTAATTTACATGCTCCTATTCTTCTTAGAAAATAGGAAGTCTAGGCATAGAAAATTATTTGATTTTCCATGTTTGGTAAGCTAGGCATAGAAAATGATCTGCTTGATAGGCCAATATTAAATTCCCTCCATCCCTTGGATTTCATTTCCTTTTTGCGTGGAAACCAAAGCTAGTATTAAATGCACTTTTTTCATGACGAATTTATTCCTGTTACCAATTTAGAAGTACAATTTTTATCCACCAATAAAAACTTGGTATTCTTTACTTTGTTTTATTTGTTTCATATCTCTAATAGGGGTATAAATGAAAAATTAAATAAATTTTGTTTTCCATTCATACACAAACCAAACATGGGAAATGAAATAAAATCATATTTCCTGATTTCTTTCCCAACATTACCAAACATGGAAAATAAATATTCCATTTCTCATCCCTTAAGAAAAAAACATAGAAAATAATTTCTCTTAAATTCCTTTCCACGGTAGACCTGTGTGGCGTCAGATTAAGAGGTTCGAGTGTTTTTACCCATCTAAACTGTACAAATTGCCTTATTGTTTGCAATTTCACTTTTTTTTTTCTTCCGTTGTATGTGAAATCAAGCATGTATTTACTTTGGACAGTAAATAGTTGGCTTCCTAACACAGTATCGGTTCCAGAAATACCTCCACCAAAGCTCTTGGTATAGTGTGCGGTTTTGGCTCAATACCAAACCAAACCAAACCGAACCCACCAAACCAAATAACCAAACATATAAAATTTACCTAATCAGCAAAGTACATACAAGTTATCTTTTGCGTAAGACTATATTCATGTTTTTACTGTATAGTTTATAACGGGTGGCGTTTTTATTGTAATGCAAGAAATGACAACGTCATCCTTCATCTTTTTATATAGGTATGACATTAACTATTCCATACATGACTATCAATTGTCCGACGATTTTCAACTTATGTTTGCCAATTATATCCTCAAGAGAGTAATATATGTTGAGTGATACTGATAAACATATAGGAACTATGTTCCACAACATCTTGGGCAAATGGTTTGAACAACATGACGATGGTTTTGATATCTTAGGATAGAACAAAAGTATATAAGATCAATACTTAACAAAGGAATGGACATAAAACTAGTTTTCAATTACCAATGACACCACAAGGGATGCCTGTAGTAATTTTCCTACAAGAACCCCAGAACAACGTTTCTATTGAACTCCTATTGAGGTATCTTAGTCCAATGAAGTATTAACAATTCTATAAACAATGAACCTGATAGGCTCCAATGAAGGTATTGAAGTCCAATTAGAGGAGCTCATTGGAAGGAACTTTAAAATTTAAGAAAAAAACGCCTAGTTGATTAGTAATAGAAATTGAAAATGCATTGACTGCCCCTTCTGCCACTAAACCAATGTCAAAGATCTCAAACATTAAACTATTTGAAACAAGTAAGTGCAAAGTTACTCACCACCACAACCTTGAATAGATTCTGAAATAGCTAAGAACTTTGATTGCTAAACTTAAAGAAACAATTAGGTGAACTCAAAATGGAAAACATAGACTATTGTTTGGAATTTCATAAGCTAATAATTTCAAAATACCAGAACAAACATTAGATTTAGATTCACATGATATATGATTACTCAAGAATTGGTACCTCTTCGCACGTTTTGGATCAATCAGGGCAAGTTCTGCAAGCTTAGCAGCTGAGAGGGCTTTCTTGGAATCAGCTGCAGAGATATCTTCTGAACTGGAGACCAGCATCTCTGGTTTGATGCTTGTTGATCCATCCATCGACTGGCTATGTTGGTGCCTGACTCTGGGTCTCTCATTAGAACCGATGGCAATATTCTCCGCAGAAGAAGTGGGCGCTCTCGATGCTGGAACAGGTGCTGCTGCAGAAGATGATGGCTCACCGAATTGAAAGGACGATGTAGCAGACGATGAATTGAATTTTTCCATATCAAGGTACATAGAAAACAAGTCTTCCTCAGTCTCATCTGAAAATGAAGGACCATCGGCACCGCCCACAACACCAAGGTCACTATCAAAGCTAATATCATCTGGAAGGGTCAAGATTTCCGAATGGGCACGTCTATGACCCAATTTCCTTGGTGGGTTATCTGGCATTCGGCTAATGTCATGACTAAAGTGACTAGATTCTGCAGACATCCCATGACCAAAATGACCTGAGTCCGCACTAGCACCCGAGGCCAATGGAGGAAATAATGATGATGAAGCTGGCTCGGGTTTCACATTGAAAGGAGTTCCAGTAGGCAAAAAACCTGAGTACCTGCCTGATGGGGGTGGTAAACCCCCACCATGGGCAGGAGACTTGTCCTTATCCATCTATAAGAAACACAAACCCTAAATTTACCCTCACAAATAGCTCAAAGATACCAAAATCCAAAAAATGCTAACTCGTTCTAAAAAAATCAAAAGCTAAGCCAAAGGATCCAAGATATAAAAAAAGCCAATGTGTTTGTTCGCTTTTGATATATAAGATAAGGGGGTCTCCAATTCTACTGAGACGAACAACAAAATTTGATCTTGAACCTATAAACTCTACAAAGCCTTGAATTCAACACACCAGAGAGCAATGAAAATCCCAGGATACATAAATCTTTCTCCAAACTAAGAGATTCAACCCAATTGAGATACAAAACAACACGTACACACACTCTACAATCAAAAGACTGATACTTGCACAGATACAAACCCTAGGAAATGGAGATCTGATAGGTGCAAATACATACAAGAATTTCAAAAAAGAAAAAATTGAGCCAACACATACAAGAACTTCAACGTGAGCAAACCCTAGAAACCATCATAGAGCAAAGCACAGCAGCTGAACATGGAAATTTTCCGGGAAAATATTGGAAAGTTTGCGGGCATTTTCTCGGAAAATAGGACATGGGAATTGGGATTATTCTTACAGAGGCAGATCTTCGGATTGGGAGCTGGAAGGTCAAAGAGAATCCCACAACTTTAGAAGAAAGCGAAATTCGAATGAGAGCAGTCACATGCAGAGCGAAAGAGATCTAAGAGACAGACAGGAAACGAAGCTTCTAAGCGACGATATAAACGTCTTATATATAAATCTTGATTTCGAGTTTTTAGTGACGCGTTTTTCTTGTTTAAATTAATAAAACAGACAATAAGTTTTTCACCAAAAAAAAGAAAAAGACAATATGTTTCTATTGCAGCTCAAAACGTTCTAGCCACGTTTTTGTGTCTCATTCGCACAAGAATTTTCTCTGCCTGTTTGGTTCTTTATACTTTGAAATTTTGGCCATTTTATTTTATGATTGTTGTTGTTTAACTGATTTTACACGTTACATTCAGAAATAGTCATTCAATTCTTTATGCTATGATCATAATCAAGGCTGATTTTGAGATTTTAGGAGCTCCGAATCAAACCCAAAAAAGAAGCCCATATGCCTATCATCACACGAGAAAGTTATGTGTTTCATTTTATTTTTTTTCTTTTTCTTTTCTAGTAGTTTTATAAGTAGATATTTATAAAAATACTCAATCCTAGACATGTATTTATAAAAATACCCAAGCACTATTTAAACATAGAAACATACCCAAAATGGGTTTTGAAAACATACCCAAAATGGGTTTTGGGTATGTGTGTAATGATGGGTTTTGGGTATATTTATAAATGGATTTTGAGTGTGTGTAATGATGAGTTTTGGGTATGTTTATAAAGTGTTTTGGGTGTTGGGTATTTTTATAATTCCAGCCCCCATTTTGGGTATTTTAGTGAAACTCCCTTTTATAAGACCGTCTCTAGTGGAAAGAGGCGAATGGTGTTTGGAATTCATAAACAGTGGTAGCCCAAATTCCACCTCCGTTGTCAATCCAACACCAATTACACTTGACCTAGACCAGTTATCTAAGTTAGCATATACCCCAGCCTGCATCGAGTTCACTCTACACGTGTGTGGCTGGCAGGGCCAATCCATTGATTTTGGAGGCCTCGTGCAAATAGAGATGTTGAGGTCATGTATATACGAGTAAAATATATTCATAATCCATATATAGAACCAAACACATCCTTAGTGTTATCAATTACATCATAATTCATAAATAGAACCCAATCCATTCTTAGTTACTTCAACTACACTTACTTTCTCATATTCGTAGTCCACTCAATTGTCTTTTATATAATAAAAAAGAGATATTTAGTCATATACCAATTCTTAGTACTAAAATTATAAATAAACCCTACACAATTTAATTTCTATAAACAAACCCAAAAAAAACCCAAAAAATGACAGCTGATCCTATTGAATTTAATTTTGATTATTAAATTACTTTGATACCCTATTGAGTGTTTTGGGCTTTTTTATGAGATTTTGGGGTTGGGTTTAAGAAATCAATGGCAGTTTTGTAATTTAAAAGAAGTTAATTGCCTTTTTGTGATATTGTAAATGGGTTTTGGGTGTGTTTCTAAAGTTCATTTCATATAAGGTTTTATTATAATTTAGACTCCTATATTAGGTATAATAGTGAATCTCCTTAAAAAAAATTGAAGGCAATTCAAAAACTAGAGAGAGAGAGAGAGAGAGAGAGAGAGAGAGAGAGAGAGAGAGAGAGAGAGAGAGAGAGAGAGAGAGAGAGAGAGAGAGAGAGAGAGAGAGAGAGAGAGAGAGAGAGAGAGAGAGAGAGAGAGAGAGAGAGAGAGAGAGAGAGAGAGAGAGAGAGAGAGAGAGAGAGAGAGAGAGAGAGAGAGAGAGAGAGAGAGAGAGAGAGAGAGAGAGAGAGAGAGAGAGAGAGAGAGAGAGAGAGAGAGAGAGAGAGAGAGAGAGAGAGAGAGAGAGAGAGAGAGAGAGAGAGAGAGAGAGAGAGAGAGAGAGAGAGAGAGAGAGAGAGAGAGAGAGAGAGAGAGAGAGAGAGAGAGAGAGAGAGAGAGAGAGAGAGAGAGAGAGGAGGGCTCAAGAAGAAGACCTCGGGAAGAGCAAAACTCATAAATAAATAAAAAAGACATGACGTGGCTAGAAAACAAGTTAAAAGAATTTCGTAAAAACCATTTTCTTGTTTTCTTTTGTCACAAGGCTTTTTTTTAATTTTAAAAAAAGTGCAAGTGTGGAGAAGTAAAGGCCCTTTTGGGTTTCTTTTATAAATGGGCTTTAAAAAATTTGGAGGCCCTGTGCAGTTGCCCAACCTGCACAGGCTATGGGTCAGGCATGGTGGCTGATAAGCTCAGTTCCCCCTTCCCTTTCCCTAGCATGTGTGGTTAGTAAGCTCAATCCCTGTGGGACAAGTGTGGTGTGACTTCATTTTAAGTATGTTTATGAGTTTAAGCATTGATATCTATTGCTAAGCATGATTGATTTTATACTTTCAACTATGTTGATTGTTGAGAGGATTTTTGTGGGAGTAAATAATTCGTCTTCCAATCACGAGACGCCACATGAACAAGAAGAATATCTCCTAGGTCAATTAATTGAACCCATTTATTTGGCAAATTAATTAATGGGAGTTTCACTAAAATACCCAAAATGGGGGCTGAAATTATAAAAATACCCAACACCCAAAACACTTTATAAACATACCCAAAACCCATCATTACACACACTCAAAACCCATTTATAAACACACCCAAAAAATATACAATTGTTGATTGTGGGGTTGATTTTGGGTATGTTTCTATGTTTAAATAGTGCTTGGGTATTTTTATAAATACATGTCTAGGATTGGGTATTTTTATAAATATCTATTAATTTATACTAAAAATAGGGATATTATCTTTTTTGGGATATTGTCTTTATTTTAAAAAGATAATATCACCAATATTATCCTAATTTGGAGATATCATCATCAAATTAGGAGATTTGATCCCGATCAAATCCCTAATGGACTCAATCTCTACAATTTGGGAAAAGAATAAATTCCTTCCAAAAACCCTATTTATAGCCATCTCTACAATTCGAAAAACCCTAGATGCCTAGAGCCCTATAAATACATGGCTTCATTCAACACACAAGGTAATTCGAAACTCAATTCCGAAACCCTAGAAAAATACCCTTTATCCCTCTCTCCTACCCAACGACCACCCTAGCTGCCAGCTCCTCCACTTTTGACTCTCCACACGACTCCGGCCACCACATACGGCTCCAGCCACCTGGTTCTTCCCATAGAGAAAACTCTGTACCATTTTTTAGCTATTGTTTATTGAGGATTCAATTGAACCAACTTAGGCATCAAAGTGCCTTTGGCTAACACCCCCTAGGTGTGGTCTTTTACTCAAGTTTGATTTTATAAGGATAGAGGAAGAGAGAGAAGGAAGTTCAAAGGGCGAAGGATCTTCAAGCGGATATTCTCGTGTGAGAATATTTGCACAAACATTTGGTGCTTTTATTGAGAGCACAAGTTATACTCAACGGGTGCTCTTGAATCAAAGGAATCCGGTTCCTTTTTTTTTTTTTTGCTCAATCAAAGCCTTCCGAACAACCATGGCCGGAAGCAAGCGCATGAGAAGCTAGACCCTCACAATGGCTTAATCTACGATGGGCTAAAGCCACTCGTCCCACGATCCCATGATCAACATGGCGGCACTGCCTCCTGTAAGGGCTTTTTCGTTCCAGCAGCTGCAAATGGGCCTGGGCTACTATAAAGAGCAAATGGATGAAGTTGCCCTTGTGCTTGAGTTCAAGAATCAGGCCCCAAGAGTACTTCAAAAAGTTCATGGAGCCTTAGGAAGTACTTTGGTTCCTTTCACTAATAAGACAGACAACTATTACAAATCATTATTATGGCTTGGCTTGAGGAGCTTGTGGCATGGGAGCTAAGCCTCCATGAGTTTAGCAATAGAGAGAGAAAGCTTGGATTTCTTATGGGAAACAGAGATTTAGAGCAAGGGGAGAGGAAAATTTGGGAAGATTTGATTAGGGAAGAGAGGGAGAGATGGGGATAAAAGGATGGGTGGCTTGAGTAGATTTTCCAGCAGCTTGATGATTGCTTGGTCGTGCTCTGGATGGTTGTTCTGTTGGGTAGGAGGTGCCCCTTTTTATAGGCATTGGAAACCCTTTCTGGTTCAGGAACCCTAGCTGACTTTCCCCAAATTTTCCCAAGCCTTCTCCTTCATTTCCCTTTACTTTCTTCAATTCAATCCTTTTTGGTGAAAATTCCTTAATCCAAGCACATTGGGGCATAGCATTTTGGGGCTGCATGGTTTTCCTGCAACTGACTTCTTCTATCTTGGGTGAGGTGCCTCTTACTTTTCCCCTTGGTTTTCCTAACAAAGCTTGCAGAGGAAAGAATGGGTAAGGGTGCTTGTCTAAAAGGTGTCTCACTTCCAACAGCCCGTGCACATGGATTTCACTTGGTTTTAACGATGGCTTAGTGTTGGGCTATTTTCTCTATCATATGCTTACCCATATATTTGGGCTCAAGAAATGGGCTTGAGTTTGGTGTTCCCATGCAGCCCAAAACTTCCACTTCTTGGACTATCAATGGGCCTCATAAACACTCGTAACCATTCATACCACAACCCGCTTAGCAAGCTCCATGCCTTTGCGTAGCTTGGGCCCATTTAAGCTTGTAACGCGGCTTGGTACTAAAATAAAGGTTTTCTTTGCTTGACGTTGTGTGTCGTGTGGCGTGTTTGTGCTCGGGCTCTGCCGTATTGTAACGGGCTATGGTCGGGCCAAGCGGTGCTTGACGGGACAATGAGCGCGGGTTCATGGAACTAGTACATTTTACAAGCTCATTGCGACCTCTTTGCATGGCAGGTTGCGTATTGTCTTGGCGTGGCATGCAGATCAAAACTTGTGTAAGCACATACGACAAATTCCTGCGTAGCCCAGTTAGGCTTGTTTCTCGATTGAGCGTTGTACTGGGTTAGAAACTTATTTAGGCTCAACCTTGGATTTTTTAGGCCTCAACACCTCTTCACACACCACCACCTTAAGTCTTCCATCAACCCATGCCGCTGCGACACGTCACGACACTACGGCTGGAACCGCGCCACAACTGCAAGACCCTTGCGATTGGAATCACCACAGTCAACGTCGCTTCGAGCCATGGTCCTATGGCCGAAATTGCCGTATAGCTTCACGGACTCGCTGCCACCACAGTCGCTTCGCAACCACTCGGGACCTACGA